CCCTCCTCCCCCCGGGTGCAGGGAGGGGAAGGACGCGGCCCCTCCACTCACCCACTCGGAACCCGGAGCCGGTCAGCGTGTCCATGGCGTGCCCGTTCTCCCCGATGAGGGTCATGTTGCTGCCCGGCTTGCAGCTGTCCCGGCAGCGACCCTTCTGGCAGGTCCGCTCGCAGATGAGCGGCGCGAAGACCACCTTGAAACGCTCCCGCGCCAGCGCCGCCCGCTCCGAAGCGGCCGCAGAGCCCCGGCCCGGCCAGCCCAGCGCCCGAGGCATCAGCGCCAGCCCCAGCGCCAGCAGCAGCAGCAGCACGGCCGCGCCCGCCGGGGGCATCTTGGCATCCCGCGCCGCCCCGGCCGGAGGGCAGGCAGGCAGGCAGGCAGGCGAGGAGGAGGAGGAGGCGGTGGGAGTTGCGCCCCCGCTGCTTCTCTCGCTCTCTCCGGCCCCTCCTGGCGCAGCCAATCTCCGGCCGGGGGCAGGAATTTGGGCACGCCGCCAAGCAGAGGCCGAGCCGAGCCGGCAGGGGGCGCGGGGAAGGGCGGCGGGGACCCGGGGCAGCCCCCCCCCCCCCGCCAGCCCCCCCCAGTCCCGGGGAACCGTCGCCCCGCTGCAATTGCGCTCACAAACACACACACACATATATATACATACACACACGTATCCTTCCTTCCTTCCCTTCGGAGGGTGGGGGTCCGCCCGCGATGGGGAGGAGGAGGAGGAGGAGAAAGGATCCCACCCCCACCCCTCCGGAGCCGAAACTTTCAACTTTCTCCCCAAACTTTATAAACGTCCTCCCCCATACTTTCAACTTTCCTGCCAAACTTGAAACTTTCCTGCCAAACTTTCAACTTTCCTGCCAAACTTGAAACTTTCACCCCAAACTTTAAAGTTTCCTCCCAAACTTTAAACTTTTGCCCCAAACTTTACACTTTCCCACCAAACTTAAATCTTTCCCCCCAAACTTTAAACTTTTCTCCCGAACTTAAAACTTTCCCCCCAAACTTTATAAACGTCCTCCCCCAACTTTAAACTTTCTCCCCAAGTTTAACATTCTCCCCAAACTTTAAACTTTGCCCCCAAACTTTAAAGTTTCGCCCCAAACTTTAAAGTTTCGCCCCAAACTTTAAATTTTCTCCAACTTTATAAACGTCCTCCCCCAACTTTAAACTTTCTCCCCAAGTTTAAACATTCTCCCCAAACTTTAAACTTTGCCCCCAAACTTTAAAGTTTCGCCCCAAACTTTAAAGTTTCGCCCCAAACTTTAAATTTTCTCCAACTTTATAAATGTCCTCCCCCAACTTTAAACTTTCTCCCCCAACTTTAAACTTTCCCCCCAAACTTTATAAACGTCCTCCCCAAACTTTAAACTTTCTCCCAAGGTTTAAACATTCTCCCCAAACTTTAAACTTTGCCCCCAAACTTTAAACGTCTTCCCCAAACTTTAAACTTTTCTCCCGAACTTTAAAGTTTCACCCCAAACTTTAAACTTTCTCCCCAAACGTTAAACTTTCTCCCCAAACTTTAAACTTTGCCCCCAAACTTTAAATTTTGCCGTCAAACTTTAAACTTTCCTTCCAAACTTGAAATTTTGCCCTCAAACTTTAAACTTTCTACCCAAACTTTGTTCCTGGCACCAGAGAAAGCGCTGCTCCTCACCATGGGAGGTGGGGAGGGAATGTAGCCAGCAGGGCAGGGGTGTGGAAGAGTTTGAGTAGCTGACCCGTCTCCCCTTATCCGTGGCCATGGCTGGATTGTTTTCCAACTTCCGGTGGGCCTGGAAGGCCCGAAAATTGACTGGCCGGCATGCGCATGTGCGCTGGAGCTGAGCTAGAGCAATGCCCGCGTGCCCACAGATATGGCTCCTCGTGCCACCTGTGGCACATGTGCCATAGGTTCGCCATCACGGGACTAGAGTTCCCTGCTTGGTAATAAGATTGGCTGGCCACACCCCCGGCCCGGTCGCTGTTCGCTTACCCCGCCCACTCCCAATCTATTGCTGCCTCCTGAGTCCCAGCTGATGGCTAGAGGGGAAAAAACTGTTTAAATTCTTGCCATGGGGCTTCAAAGGGCCGCCCTACAGCTGATCAGTGTTAAAAGAAAATAAATGAGTAGACCGGTGCCTGCAAAAATAGAAAAAACAGCCCCTTTCACCTTCAGCATAGGTTAATTAGCACAAGTTGATTAGATCGGCCTCCGGACTCTCAGCTGATTTGCTCTCAGCTGTTTTGCGCAGGGCTCTGCAGAGTGCGGGAACAGATTTTTTTTCCCTCCTAGCTATGCTGAAAAAAAGAAACTGAAAGTAAAGCAGGGTCTTGGCTGCACCTGACAAAATGAGGCAGGGAGAGATTTCTTTTTCTTTTTCCTCACCAAAAAAGGTAGGTGCAAAACTGTGGGAAATTTAGGGCAAAAGAGGAGAGTTCAAGATTTTAAAACACAAAAGAAAAAAAACTCTATTTAACTAGGGAATTGTAATAATTGAGATACTATTAATTGTATATTGTGTTGAAAGCAGAAATGGTTAAGTTGTGGTTTGGAGGAATATATGGGGGAAATTATTTGGTTTATTATTATTGGTAAATATAATTGATTTGTAAGAAATTGGATTGCATGGAAATAATTGGAATATTCATGTTCATATTGATTAATATACAAAAAAGATAGTTGTATAACTAATTGATTTATATTAAAACGTTGAATTTGTATTAAACAACTGTATTACATAATTACATAATTAACCAATGTGAGGATGGATATAAAAATAGATGACAATGCGAAGGGGTATAATATAGAAGGGAAAAATTGAATTTGATTAAGATTAGAGATGAGGATGAAGGGTAATATTGGTTTTTAAAAAAAATAGATGAGGAATAAATATGGCAAAAAGGAAATATAGAAATTGTAAATTTAATTGAAATGACTAAATACTGTTTAAATTTGTGAACCGGGCAAATACTCTGTTCAAAGAAAATACATTGTATGTTTGTATGTGTGTTTCTAATTATTGCTATTTATTCATATTTGTTCTTTTATTCTTTAAAGTTTAACAATTCATTCTTTATCTTAATATCTTTATATTTGTTTGGGGTTGGTTTAATTTCCTTTCATCTTTTTTTTTGTACAGCAATCTTTCTCCTCAAACCTACCACCTCTCTCTTTTCTTTCCTTCTTACTTTCTCTTCCCCCCACCCTCTTCTTCTCCTCCCTACTTCCTCTTCCTTTCTCCTTCTCCTCCTCTCTTCCTCCCTCTCTTACCCTCCCTCCTACTCTAATTTCCCTTCATCCCTCTCTATTGCTGTATCCTTTTGTGCACATGGACTACTCAGAGGGCTGAAAAAATTATTTTTGACTGGTCCTCGCACTTTTGACCAGTCCTCGAACTTACGACTGTCCTCACATTTTACGTTTTTGCCCTATCTTGTCACCATGGTGAAGAGAAGCAATTGTGAAATGAGTGACATGGTTGTTAAGATTGCTGCATGGGCATAAATGTGAGGATGGTCATAAGTGTGAGGACCAGTCAAAAGTGCGAGGACCTGTCAGAAATGACTTTTTTCAGCCCTCTGAGTGGTCTCTATACACATAATCATGGCCGCCTGGTCACCTGACCTCCAAGCCATGCCCACCCAGTCACATGACATCCAAGCCACACCCACAAAATAAGCCACACCCACAGAACCGGTAGTAAAAAATTTTAGGAACTGTATTAAAGGGTCGTGGCATTAGGAAGGTTGAGAACCAGTGGACTAGAGGACCTCCAAGGTCCCTTCTTCGGTTATTCTGTTAAAAAGACAGATTAAATGCAAAGTTAGGATACCGGCTTGGAAGTGAAGGACTTGCAATTCGATAAAACCATTTGTAAACAACAAAAAAAGACTTGATCTTTATGTGGCTACCTTTTGTCCTGTGATTTGCAGAAGAAAAAATAAACAGGCGCTAAAGAAAGGGTGCCTTGTAGCCGGAGAAAAGTTTTTAAACTTTAGGAAGTTGCAACATTCTTATTATCGAAAAACTCTCAGGTTGTCTGTCCTTGGGAAGTTGCAAAATTCTTATTTTCCTTGCACCATTTCCACCCCACTCCCCCCAATTTTATTGTTTAGCAGCTTTATGTTTAGGCCTGCCTGTATTCAAAGGAAGGCCGACTTGAAGAAAAAAAATATCTGTAATATGTAGATAAATTGAGGCGGCGGCTATCTAGGACCAGAAGTGGGGGGTGGGGGGCAGACTACCCCTCCTAAGTACTCACAGGCCTTCTGAGGTTGTCGTTGTGAGTATCAACACTTTTACTTCCTTTCCCTCTTTGTGATTCTGAGGGAACTTCGGTTGCCTCTTCCATTTCTTCTTGCATTGTGGGTTGTTAATTTTTTTTTTTTTTCCCAGTCGGGCATCAAATTTTTCACTCTGCATTTAAAATACGGATGCTTTTCTCCACTATTTAAGTTATGAAGGCTTGCAAGGAGGAGCCAGCTGGTCCTTCAACCAGACTGGATCAGAAGCTCATGCAGGACAATTCGTAGCTTTCCCAGCTCTGCAATCCAAACGTCAGTTTTTTCTTTGTTCCACGTTTTTTTTTTCTGACTGGCCAGCTTTCATAGCCATATGTTACAACGGGCAAAACCACAACTCCCAAGATACTAATTAGATGGGACAATGGTGAGAGATCCTGATGTTGTAGCTCTGTGTATGTGTGTGTAATTCAGCTATTATAGTACTTAGATAATTGTTTCTCAATCTTGGCACCTTTAAGATGAGTGGACTTCAACTCCCAGAATCCCCTAGCCAGCGTGCTTTAAGAGGGCTGAACTCCCAGAATCCCCCAGCCAACGTGCTTTAAGATGAGTGGACTTCCCCAGACTGGGAATTATGTCCCATTTTATGACCTTCCTTGCCACAGTTGCTAAGTGAATCACTGCAGTTGTTAAATTAGTAATCTGGTTGTTAAGTGAATCCAGCTTCCCCATTGGCTTTGCTTGTCAGAAGGTCGCAAAAGGGGATCACATGACCCCAGGACTCTGCAACCGTCATAAGTATGAATCAGTTGCCAAGCAAGTAAATCACATGAGTACGGGGATGCTGCAACGGTCACAAGTGTGAAAACGGTCATAAGTCACGTTTTTCAGTACCGTTGTAATTTCGAACGGTTACTAAATGAGGACTATCTGTAGCTTATCGGCCAACACCTCCAGAGCAGCTCAGAAAAGAAAACGGAAACACCACAATTTCCAACAGACAATGTTGCCGAGGAATTAGCCATGGCTACAACGTGGCTTCTTTTTGGCTGGGGAATTCTGGGAGTTGAAGTCCACAGGTCATATAAAGCAGCCACAGTTTTGGGACACGATTTTTTTGCATTCTGTAGTGAAGTCTCTTCTTTTCTATTCTCTTTAAAGGAAGAAGTCCAATTCTCTTTCCATAAATTGAATGATTCC